GATGTGGGCAGGGTGCAGAATGCAGCCAATGGTGCCAGGCAATCAGTCTGTTCACCATCTGATGGCTTTTCAGTCGTCTGAAGTTCTGCAGACTCAGCAGAATTTGTCAACATGTGGATTTATTATGCATCCTGGTCAATATTCAAAGCATATTTTTTATTTAAAGACTCACGCCTTTCTTCAATTCCCACAAATTATATTTTTTAAATCTTATTTCCCTACCATTTCTTCCATTCTTTTCTTTTAGGATTGCTACCATATTGTTATAGGGAACTTTCAACCCAATTGCAATCTCTCTTAACTATGTTTTCATATATTAAGAAATATATGAGTAAATACAGCACTCTAGTTCTTGATTTTCACGCTTTATCTGGGGTTCTGAGTAAGACTTCATCTTCAGTGGGAAATGTTTTGTTTCTCTCTCTTCACGCACCCTCCCTTATTTCTCCTTCCCAACCCTCCCTCCCATCTTGCAGTTTTGTGATTGCTTTAAGCTACATCCAGTCCAGAACCAGGTATGTTTACATGAATGAGTGTGCATATTCTATTTTACTCAGCTGTCACATGAACAAGTTTCTTATTCCAAATTTATAACAAACTTCCTAAGGCTGAAGACCATACCCCATGTCCTTGTATTCATCACAACACCTACACAGTACTGAACACCGAAGAGGTATTCAGAAAACAGTGGTTAAATTAAACTTCTAATATTTGCATTGGGGGTTCTAAGTCTATTTGACAGAATAGTCTTAAATTGCTTAGGGTACAGAATTTAACTTGCAATTGCTTTTACTCATACAGTAGATAGGGGTTCTAGTATTTTTCCACACTTCCTCATTTCCAGCTTAGACAATTTAAACCTCCTCCTCACAACCAATTTAACTAGCAGGTCAAGAAACTGCCAAGACCTAACACTTTACCCTAAGAGGCCGATGGCGGCAGGAGCTGAAACATGATGCTGAAAGTGAGGACCTAACTCTGGTGACAGGACAATCCACATCCATTTCTACTACTGAAGAACGACCCCGTGAGATTTCGATGGAGCTCAGATTCTTGGTCCTCCTCCTCTGCTTTTCACTCAAGCCATCTCCAGAAACGACTGGGTGTCCAAGCACTGAATCTGTGATTCTGACCAAGGAAAGCACGGAAGTAGTAGAATTCCTATGGGAATATTTAGCCACTCTTCAGAGAAGTCTCCAAACTGTTCCTCATATATGAGGAGTCTTCAAACCGTTCACGAAAAGTGTGCATTATGAAAAACCATGAGTAGATTTCAAAAAATTTTCCCAACAAAATACCTCATGCTAACTTGCTGCAATACATCTGTGCAGGATCTAGTCTGAGGCACTAAGAAACTAAGACATCAGTCTGAAAAGAGCCCTGGGCATTAAGAACAAACATCAAATTTATGGTGATGGCTGGGTAGAAAAATGGTGAAATCAATGATGCTTTATGAGAAGTTCATGGGGACAATGACCCACAGAAACCGACAGTTTACAAATGGATTACTCATTCCAAGGGACATGATGATGTTGAAGATGAAGTCTGTGGTGGCAGACCGTCCACAGGAACTTTGTGACCATAAAATGGACCTTGTTCATGGCCTAACTGAAGAGGACTGACAACTGACAGCAGAAACAACAGCCAAAACCACAGATGTCTCAACTGGCTCAGCTTACCCAATTCCGAATTTAAAAATAAAGTGGAGGGGCCGGCGCCGTGGCGCAGTGGGTTAATCCTCCGCCTGCGGCCGGCATCCCATATGGGGGCCAGTTCTAGTCCCGGCTGCCCCTCTTCCAATCAGCTCTCTGCTATGGCCTGGGAAAGCAGCAGAAGATGGCCTAAGTGCTTGGGCCCCTGACTCCGAGCGGGAGACCAGGAAGAAGAGGCACCTGGCTCCTGGCTTCGGATCAGCACATCTCCAGCCACTTCAGCCATTTGGGGAGTGAACCAACGGAAGGAAGACCTTTCTCTCTGTCTCTCCCTCTCACTGTTTGTAACTCTACCTCCCAAATAAATAAATAAAATTAAAAAATTAAAGTGGAGCAAACCTTCTGCTTGATTGGTGCCCAAACTGCCGCACCCACATCAGCTGCAGATAAGAACAGAGTTTCAGTGGAAATTTCACGCAAGTGGGATCAAGATTCTGAAACATTTGTTCACAGAATTCTAATAGGGGATAAAACACGGCTTTAATAGTATGGCCCAGAAGACAAAGCACAGCTAAAGCAATGGCTGCCAGCAGGCAGAACTGGTCCAGTCACAGCAGAGCCAGAAGTCACGAGAGTTAATATTTCTGGAGTATGCTCAAGGCATTTTGCTTATTCGCTTTTTGGGGGACCAAAGAAAAGTAATATTTGCTTATTAGGAGAAAGTAGCCAATGTTCCAGCAGACAAATGCCTGGGAAAACTCTGCCAGAGAGCCACTCCCAGTACAGCAATGCTCCTGCTCCTCCGTCTCATCAAACACACACACCGGGACAACGGGAGATCATCCACCTTACAGCACTGACACTGTGAAATTCCCAGGATCTTCCCTTTATGGGCAGACTAAACACCCAGCATCGTGCCTACAAAGGTGTCTGGAACTCGACAGGGCTTATGTTGAGAAAGAAGGCTTACAGGAACCTTCTGAAGTCCCCCTGTAACAGCCTCTTCCCTTCAGATGGCCCAAACCTGGAACCAGTCGCTCAAGAGAAGCCCTTGACTGACCGCATCACGCCAAGGGCTCAGAGACCCCCCTGAAGGAACACACTCAGCTGACTAGCTGAGGCACTGACAGCAACTGTGACTCAACTTGTCCACGGGAACAAAAACAATTCATGTATGTTTAAGCTTTTTATTAACAAAACATAGCCTTCTATAACCAAATAACTTTCAGTGGACTTTCAGCAGATTTTTCTCTTGGTTTCTTCAAAGTCAGATCTCATATTTTATGACTGGCAAAAGCAGTCACTGTTGCATGGTTTTCAGTACTTAATAGCTATATCCCCAAAATATATTCTTAGCTCATATATAAATTATTACAGATTTTGGCTATCACAATTCATAAAATTTTTCTTTTCAAAGTAACCACATCATACATGATTAAATTGTTTTTATAAATGGGATTAATTTCAAAACGTAATGGTTGAGATATTCTATAACTTCTTTCTACACATTTCTTTTAAAAATATTTATTATTTATCTTATAATGCACACCTTTTTCTCTCAAGGTTGGAACAGCCATATTAAGCTTGGGATATTACTTACCCATTAAAAATCTTATTGAGAGCCAAATTTGGAAAATAACACACTATATAATTTTTTGTAGAAATTTAACTAAAGATAAAAAACTTGCTAGAATATCTCTCTACTGCTTACTAATGAATGTCACAAATGCTGAGTCTTCGTACAACCTTGAATTTTAAAGAGTAAACAAGATTTTATTTTCTGAAGCAGATTCTGAATGTATAAATTACAAGTGATAGGAATGAGAAAAAAGCCACAACTGGTTTATAGAATATTTCATAAGTTACGGAATATACAAAACTTTCACCCTTGAAATGTGAGGAGCAGTTTATGGCACTTTTAGATGTACTTTTATTTGGATCTCTCTAGATTCCTGGTTATTTTAAGGTTTATAAGGTAAGAACATAGTGTGATATCTTCATAACTCTTTGCAAATGAATTTTGTCATTAAAATATAAAATCTGTATATTTTTAAAATAATAATATTGTATAAATGTCAATTTTAATATGACCTCTAATTGTGAAAGTGTTATTAATTTAAACAAAGTGGTTAAAAATATGCAATAACTTTTTTCTGAACTGGGAAAAAGATAAAGTACAAATGTAAATGTGTGATAAAGAATCCAAAAACACTTGTTTGAAGATTTGATCTGTTTTTTAATTACAAGAAAATACTGGGCTATATTTGATAGGCAAATTAAACAAATATTTTCTTTATCTACCCATCCCCACCCCTAACAAGTTTCCAGGACAGCAACCTGTGTTGTTCCACAGGATCACCAAATTTTTAAAGCTCCAAGTCATGGAGCTCTTTTGCTATAACACCGACTCATATTTACAAGGGTACCCTTAAAAATCAATTACAGGCTATATACCTTACCTTCCTAGTATCAGTCATATAATTTCATAAAGTAATTAAAGGCCAGAAACTAGTCACGGAAGGAAGAAACTATGATAGCATTACTTTATTGGATCAGTATTTCGCAACCTTTATTCAGTTTAGTAACACCTTGTGATTTTTTCTTTATTCATGTGTCATTTAAACTACTAATATCTTTAAATTGACTTAAATTTCCTTAAAAACTAATGTATATGAAATAACTGATACCACAATTTTGCCAATTCTAATTGTTGTTTACTACATTATTAAAATATTACACCAATTAGAACTGAAATGTTTGCTCAGCTGTCACTTAAAATTAACTCAAGTGTCAATAATGACGTGTCCATGACTACTCTGAAACAGTGCCTTAGATAAAGTCAGCCACAGTGTGCATACCTGTCTGAAAAGAAACATTCAGGCTAGGTCCCAATGCTCTTATCACAGCATACTGCCTATCCCAACCAATGCTGACACAATTTTAACAATTACAACACATATTTAATTCAAGGTAATTTGAACATTGAATTACTTTTATTTCTCTTAAAAAAAAAAAGATTAAGTAAAAGACTTAATGTAGAAAACATAGACTCCTGGAAAAAGGTGTCATTATTGGCAGGAAGAGAATTCTTATCTCCTGGGATAATGAAAGACCAATTTCAAGTTAAACCAAAAAACTGAATAGGAATAATTAGTATAATATATCAAAGATAACTGCACATCTTTTAAAAATTTAGCCAGTCATATACTTCACGATGAATTGTGAAAAAACTAGTCTTGTCACTTTTAGAACTTGGGTAAAAATTTAACAACAAATCTGCTGAGACTATATTCAGATATTACTTCACCTGCTAATTTTTCATAGAAATTCAGCGTTCAGAGTCATTACCTTTGGCAACTCCCATTCTGACCGAGATCCATCTGCACTGTAGTAATATTGTCTACCTTGATCATCAACGTGCTTGAGCCACTATAAAAATACAACAGGTTTATTTAAATAAAAGTGAGTTTAAGCCACTACTACAGAGACAGTAGACATTATTCTTATACTACTTCCACAAGAACACTGCAAAACAATATGACAAACTTAGTAGACTAATAGAGTTGCATTTTTGATTTGGCAAGAAGATGTATTAATACTATATTGTGTGTTTTTCTTTCTCTTTCCTCCAATGTTAGGCTAGTGATTCAAGCATCACTTAAGGACATAACAAGGAACAAAGCCCTGGAACACAGCACACTCCCATCCTGGAGACAGGCTGGGGAAACTGACAAAGGGGAACTATTTTTCAATCTCTAAAAACAAAACTAAACTATTTAGGCCTCATTCATGAGAATCCTTGGGATTGCCTGCCTTAGTCAATACATTTTATCAACATAATTGAAGCAACAATAGCAAGAACTTTGTGCAGCAGAATAAGGAGGAACAGGGTCGTGGGGAGGGGACATGATCTTGGTTATAAAATAAACGAAACTATTGCTGCCTTATGTTCTTAGGCTAGAAAGAGAAGCAAAAACCAACACCGCCAGGTATAATACACATATAGAATGTCAACATTTATTCCCAACCAAATTAATCATAAAACACTAGATTCATGGCTTTTAACAAATTTGGTTATAATAATTTTAAAAAGAGAGTAGAGGCAATGTACAATTACAGATGGTTGAAAATAATTCCAAAAAAAAATGCTTCCTGAAGAAATCTAAACACAACATCCGACAGGTCTACCTATGACAGGTCTGTTTGAAATGGCCGTCAACAGCACACAAAGTCCCATCATTGTGAGCAGTCAAAAACCATGAATCAGTAATTATATATTGCCTTTTCACATGGTTGGTCGGCATAATTACAGAATTACAATGAAGAATAGTCTCATGAGTTTTTTCTTAAAATATTACTAAAACCAGTACACAACTATGTTATGAGAGAATTCTGTCAAGAAACACTAGATGAGAAAAAAAGAATGTACCTTTTCATTAGTATAGTCACTGGTATATAAGGTATGCCCACGTTCATCCAGCTCTTCTGACCAACCCCTGGGAGCAGAACCACACTGACTATCTGACTGGCTGTTACAAAGGCTCTGGAAGTTCTCCTCTGACGAAAGCAGCTATAAATGGTCAGAAACACAAGGATTTTTCTTCTTTGAACATCAACATGCAGCAATTGAAAATCTAAGAGATCAACTTTTCTTGGCTATAAATAATAAGATATTTTGAATATATTTGAATAGTTTTGTTTAAAACAAACTAGTTAGTCGTTAAGTATTTAAGTATTATAAGTGGTGAGGTAAAAATTAATAATAGTTATTTTGACACATTAATGCAATCCTAGAAACATCACAATGAAATGGAAAACGATGTTTTCAGACAAAGGAGTGAGAAATGCTACCTTCCATTTAATGCAGCTGTCCAACAGACACCACGTTAACAAGCGACAGGGATATACGTGTGTGTAAACGAAGGGATGAGGAAACTTCAGACTGTTAGGACGAGTTTCTTGAAAACCCTCACTCCTCTGCGTATCCCATGAGTAAGATCAGAAATCCAGTAGGGACACAATAGGGGTGTGCATGATAAACTTCAGACATACAAAGGGACTTCAGAAAGTTCATGGAATGAGAAGTTAAAAGGTAAGTTGTTTGGTGCAAAAGATTTTTGAAATCCATGCATAGTTATTTCCTAAGACACACGTTCCACGAACTCTTTAAGTTACGCTTGTACAAAAGGAACACACTGGAAGACCGAGAAAACTTAACAGTTATTGATGCTTCTTAACAAACCGGAGGTAATACAATGTTACTAAGCAGCCATCTGTTTACTGCACTTAAACCTCATTTATTCAACAACCAATCATTTGGTTAATCCTCATGGGCAATTGATATTTCCTATCACCTCTAGGTAAAACAGTTTCAGACTATATTTTCTACCACTGTAACTTAATATGAAACCTTGAAGATGGATAGACTCTCAATGTCACATGTAAAGATACAAAGAGTACATTATTAACTTTTCACAAAAACTGACATAGACAACTTTGCAGAAGCATTACATAAAAGTGAGCTGTGTTTTGCAACATAACACTTTGAAAAAATGAAAAGCCTAATTCAAAACTTCAGAATGTCTTTTTATTTAATTGCAACACCTTAAAATGTAATCCTGTGTAGGAGTACAATGAAATATTTTAGAAGCTGAATAAAAGAAGGAAATCTAATTAGTAAATTTAATGCAAGAAAAAAAATCAAAATCACTAAATCAGTTTTCCCATAAATATATAATTTTCTAGTTGACAGAATGTTGATCACAACTGTCCAATGTTCTCTTCTGGTATGACAAACAACCTTCAGTATCTTGGTATGTTTTACCCAGAGGAACTCTGAGATCTTGATACCTACTGGTAGAAAACAGCCATCTAATGGCAATTTAATAAAAAATTAGGATAATTTTAGCAAGCAGTCTCCAAACGTTAACTGTTCTATATTAGATAATTCTATGCTGGAGGGCAGCTGGCTCAGTAAGTTTGGGTATATTCTGCAGTGAATGAGCCCTAGCTGAAATGTAACAGGCCTGCTTACAGGAACGTGGCAGGTAGGTACATCAACTGGTCATCTGCATGAATACAGTTAAAACTGTTACATTAATCATCAGTGAGCAAGAGGCTAGTTGAGAAACACCCAGAGGTCACCCACTAAGGAGAAGCAAGATCCAGGGAGCTAAACAGAATAAAAAGACCAGCTTTGTTCTGGAAGGCATTTGCAAAACCTCAAACTGGAACACTGTTCTTCAACGTCATGAAAACCCTACAATGCAGAGCCGAGATCCCCCAAAAATTAGACCCACAGAGTATGAGTGATCAGAAACAAAACTTGCCCTTTTATTCCACACGAGGAAAATCGAAGGAATCTTCCCCAGACCACAAGGCAGTCTTCATGCATCCTAAGTTACTGCTACCCAGGTGGCCTAGAAAACCAAAGCTGACATCCCCATCGTGAGCTCCTAAGAACCACAGTCGCACATTAAAACAGAGAACAGACACGTCCCACTACCTCACGAGGCTCAGGAGGAAAATAGACACCATCAGAAACCTCACATACCAGAAATCAGAAAAACAAAACACAAGTGGCCGACATCATGGCACTGCGGGTTAAAGCCCCAGTCTGCAATATGGGTGCTGAATCACATCCTGGCTGCTCCACTTCCATTCCAGCTCCCTGCTAATGTGCCTGGGAAAGCAGCAGAAGATGGCCCAAGTCCTTGGGCCCCTGCACCTGCATGGAAGACCTGGAAGAAGCTCCTGGCTTCAGATCAGCACAGCTTCTGCCATTGCGGCCATTTGGGGAGTGAACCAGTGGATAAAAGACCTCTTTCTCTCTGTGCCTCTGCCTCTCTGTAACTCTGCCTTTCAAATAAATAGATAAATCTTTAAAAAAAAAAAAAAAAAAAAAAGAAGAAGAAGAAGAAGAAGAAGCAGAAGCAGAAGAAAGAAGTCCCGTGTTCATGCTGCAAAGTGTCCTTATATTTTTGGAATAAAATATGTTGCCTGCTTCAAATGGTTCAGGAGAAAATGGTGTGTGTTTGGGAGGATCAAAGGACACAGAAATAAAGAGAATGTGGTAAAATGGTAAGAACTGGAATATCTAGATGAAGGTCCGTGGTATACTGATATTCACTGGAACAGTCACCTAACTTTTGTCTAAGTTTAAAAGTTTTCAAAGTAAAAGACATTGAAACCCTTCCAAATAAAAAATAACACTTTTTTAAAAATGTAAGTACTGACTCAACATCAAAGAAAGACACAGATAGATACAAAAAATGAAGAGGAGCTAGATTTGGAAATGCTGAGGATGAAGCAGATACCAACACAGGAAGCAGATCACACACACACCTAGTCAGAGTTCCCAAGTGGGGCAGTGGCTATATACAGATAATAGCTAAGAATTTTCCAGAACCCATCAAAGACAGGGATCTTCACATCCTTCAAGAGTTCTAACCACAAAGCCCCAGCTGGAAATAAAGACGCCTTCACTTAGTCACATCAAAGCGCAACTGCAGAGATGGGGTCTTAAACGCTACCAACAAACCTCCCCTAAAAAAAGACAACCTGAAAGCTGAATTCCCAGCATCAACAATGGCAGCCAGTACAACACGATAATAAAATCTCCCACGAACTAGGGAAAACCAAACACACAGTCAATTTAGACCCCTATATTCATTAAATAATTCTTCAAAAACCATGGGCAAAATCAATAAAGTTCCAAACAAAAGCCAAGATTCTAAGAATCTATTGGTAACAGATACTGATAAGGGACTATTTTTTTAAAAAAGATCTATTTATTTACTGGAAAGGAAGAATTAGAGACAGACAGACAGACAGACACATCTTCCATCTGCTGGTTCACTCCCCAAGTGGCCACAATGGCTGGGCATGGGCCAGGCTGAAGCCAGGAGCCAGGAGCTCCATCTGGGTCTCCCATGTGTATGAAGGGGTCCAGTATTTGGGCCATCACCTGCTGCTTTTCCAGGTGCATTAGCAGGGAGCTGGATAGGAAGTGGAGCAGCCAGGACTCAAATGGGTGCCTTATATGGCATTGCAGGGAGTGGCTTTACCCTCTATGCCACAACACCGGCCCCAGATGAAAGAATTTAAAAGCATGTACTTATAAAGAAAATATGAGAAAAAAGGTAATGTGGGAAAATAAAATGATAAACTGAGAATTAACTTGAGTCATCATGTACAAGAGGACTAAACACAGAAATAAAATATATGACACTAACATAAGAGCACAACAAGGATACTTCAAAATCTTTATGGAAAATGAAATTAGAAGGTACGTTTCTTTTTGGTACAAATAAAAAATCTGAAGTCCAGGCATAAGAGGGGGACTTCAAAAGTTAATGAGGGGACTACACTGTGGCGTAGCAGGTTAGCCACTGCTTGCAAGGCCAGCATCCTACAGCAGAGCACCAGTTAAAGTCCAGGCCACTTGCTTCTGATCCAGCTCCCTGCTGGTGTGCATGGGAAGGCAGTGGAAGATGGAGCAAGTGCCTGGGCCCCTGCCACCCACATGGGAGACCAGCTGGAGTTCCTGGTTCCTGACTCCTGGCTTCGGTCTGGTCCAGCTCCAACTGTTGCAGCCAACTGGGGACTGAACTAGTAGATGGAAGACCTGTCTCTCCCTCTGTTCCTACTGTTTTACCTTTCAAATAAAAAAATATTTGTATTAAGAAAGTTAATGAAAAATGAATATTATAAGAAAACCATAAATAGATTTCAAGTACTTTTGGCATCAAAATAAACTTGTCTTCTAATTCTGTTTTCCACAAAAGCTTTGAAAAGTACCCATGTGTATTTGGGCACAGCTTTCGGAAGCAAGAGGACAGTGACTAACTTCCGTCTTAGGTGCCTCAGGTGGCCAGGTCAGGATTCTAGGGCAGGGTTTCTCGTCAGCAGAGCTGTGGAGAGCTGTCCTGTGTGCTGCTGGAGGCCCAGTAACGTCTCGGGCCTGGACCCACCACGTGCCAGTAGCACTGCTCCCCTTGGTGTGACAACCAAAGAATCCACAGACACCGTCAAATGTCCCTGGAAGGCAACATCACCCCCAGTGAAGCACCACTGGTGTAGGGCAGCCACTAAAGCAATCAGATGAAAGAGTGCACAGTTGGCACCTCTCAAACTCCGCTGATGTAAATCCAGAACAGGGCAAACACCAAATGAGACAACAGCCAGACAAGCCAACGCAGACTTAATGATGCACACAGAAGAGAGCAGGCCCCAGGTGGGCCGGGCAGGGCAGTGAGGGGAGATGAAACCCACCAAGTTACAGAGCAGAACCTGCACGTGGCTCAGGAACGGCTAAGGTTCCTCTGGAACCAGGGAGTGAAGGCAGTGCTACCTAAACAGCAAGGACTAAAATTGCCGGGACCCCCTTCTCTGAGCCTGGTCACTAGGCCTGTACCTCCTTCTCTGAGCCTGGTCACTAGGCCTGTACCCCCTTCTCTGAGCCTGGTCACTAGGCCTGTGCCCCCTTCTCTGAGCCTGGTCACTAGGCCTGTGCCCCTTCTCTGAGCCTGGTCACTAGGCCTGTACCCCCTTCTCTGAGCCTGGTCACTAGGCCTGTACCCCCTTCTCTGAGCCTGGTCACTAGGCCTGTACCCGCTTCTCTGAGCCTGGTCACTAGGCCTGTACCCGCTTCTCTGAGCCTGGTCACTAGGCCTGTACCCCCTTCTCTGAGCCTGGTCACTAGGCCTGTACCCCCTTCTCTGAGCCTGGTCACTAGGCCTGTGCCCCCTTCTCTGAGCCTGGTCACTAGGCCTGTACCCCCTTCTCTGAGCCTGGTCACTAGGCCTGTACCCCCTTCTCTGAGCCTGGTCACTAGGCATGTACCCCTGCCGTACCCCAGCAGACTCCTGGGAACTGACCCCTCTGAGCAGGGACAGACTTTCGGGTTCTCGGTTGAGAGACAACATACACGACTGGGACACAGGTACCGACACAGAGAGGGAGACGCCAAAGGAACAGGCAGCCCTCACTCTCCAGACAGCAGGGCCAAGCCGGGGCTCCATGGAGACCCTGCTGCGTGCAGAAGCAAAGACCTAGAGGTTCTAACACTGGAGACTCCCAATAAGCACTAACTGCCTGCGACTGCGGCAGAAAGGGCTTCCCTGCCTAGAGTCCTACGCCCGGGCACGATGTCAGTTAAACACTGAGCGCAGAGGGCAGGATTTCTCACCCACGCACGTCTTGGTTTGGCCTCTTGTACGCAATTTTTCTCAGGAAGTCAGAGGAGAAGTGCTGGAGCCACTTCGGAAACAGCTATTTCTATGAGTTTGTGCAGAGATTGGTCGTGTAAGCGGAGATCCTGACAGACAAATCGCTCACATATATTTATTGAAACAGAAAGCTAAAGAACATGTTAAACGTTTCTGGGGCTACTTCAAACTTCCTATGTCTGTAATTTAGCCTTTTCCCTAATTCTCCCAAATAAAAGCTTTTATTTTATTACCGACTTATAACGCAAATCTAATTTTCCTAACTTTCTTATCCAGTTAAGCAGAAACAATTTCTCTCACTAGTTTTTCTCTCATTCTTACACACTAACAGCACAAGCTACCGCCGAACCAGAGCTATAAATAACTGAAAAATAGGACATGAAGGGGGTTATTAACTACAAAAGGCTTTCCTGCATTTTGCTCAGCACAGGGTATGCTGCTGGGTCCTGCCGGCTCCTACCTGCCTGCAGCTCTGCTTTACTTTGTGTGAGCCCCCTACCGTCCACTAGAGCAGGTGTCCTACGCAGGTGTGGGACTCCACTCTGGCTGTCCCGCCAGCCCAGCAATCCACATCTACACCGTCTACCAGCATCTCATCAGCCCCCAAGCTGAGCGTCTCTCGAGTCACAGCTGACCAACTCACAACACTACCGTGAGGAAGTGAGGGCAAAGGCGGAGCCAGAGGCAGCAAGACTGGGAAAGCACTCGTGAGAGAAAGAGGGCCGCCGTGAGCAGCTCGTCAGACTGACAGGCTGATCACTGTAACAGAGGAACTGCAGTTAGTTTCCTGATGTAAGCACAGAGGGATCTTGTACCTCCGAGAGACAAAGTGAGAAGTAGCCTGACAGCCACGCGAAAGCCTCTGCTTTAATCGCTTAGATAATTTATTTCTACTTATTTAGCTTAGTCACATCGTATCTTTTCCTCCTTTTCTGAAAATTGCCACTGGTTATACAACAAAAATGACTGAATTGGTGCCTTCTAATAGAGCAGTGAGCAACTTCCATCCACTTCTGGAACTAGTAAGCATTCAGGTTAGCCGATGTCTGCTAGTTAGAGATTAGGAATAACCAGCACTAGTATGGTGAAACTTGGGAATCAGTTAGTGTCTTAGAGATGCAAGTGTTCTACCATCATCTCGCTACCATGTCACAAAGCTTCTCAATTAACAAAGAGAACACCGGGTAACTCACGGGTCGGCTCCGCACTCTCACATACCTCGTGATCTCCCGGGCTGTGGAAGTCTCCTTTGCTTGCGTCCCGAGTCCAGCGGGGCGGTTTCCAAGTTCTTTCCTGAGTCCCTCGGTTGTAGTAGTAACAACGCCCCGAGCCGTCCTTGTGGGTTTCCCACTCTCCATTAATCTGAATGGCGGGGCTCCCGGGAAGCGGAGGCAAAGCAGACTGGGATATTTTCAGTTCCTGTAGATTGGCGTAGACGGGAGAATCTGGCCTTCCTTGACTTGGAGGTGTAGTGGCCTATGACACGGAAATAAAAATGAATGTTCAAAAAGGCACGTTTAACAAATTAAATAGGAGATTATGCAAATTAACATTTAAAAATTAAAAGATCTGGAAACATACATATTAGTTCAATTAAATACATAGAAACAGGTGTATATATTCTAACAAAGGAATAATCTAAGTTTTAACACTCCTACTTTGACTGAAAAGTAAACAAAAGCTTCACACAGGACTCAAAGTGTACTCAATACTTTCCTTAACCTGAAAGCACACTCGATTAGAAGTAGGAACTGTGGGTTTTGGTTCAGAATCTGGCTCTGACAAGTTTTATGATACTGGAAAAAATCACCTGAACCTCCATAAATGTGAGAATTGCCTAAACCACCCAGATCTTCTACAGCTCTAAAATTCTAAGATTTTAGGCAATTTTTAAAAAGATTTTATTTATTTATTTGAGAGGTAGAGTTACAGACAATGAGAGAGAGAAACAGAGAAAGGTCTTCCTTCCGTTGGTTCACTCCCCAAACGGCCACCACGGCCGGAGCTGTGCCGATCTGAAGCCAGGAACCAGGAGCTTCTTCTTCCAGGTCTCCCACATGGGTGCAGGGGCTCAAGCACTTGGGCCATCTTCCACTGCCTTTCCAAGGACATAGCAGAAAGCTGGACTGGAAGAGGAGCAGCCGGGACTAGAACCAGCACCCACATGGGATGCGGGCGCCGCAGGTGGAGGATTAACCTACTGTGCCATGGCAGTAGGTTAAATTTTTTTAAATATAAGAAGTCTGGAGCTGGAGCTGTGATGCACTCCCTATCAGAGTGCATGGGATGGAGTCCTGCCTGTGCTTCCAACTAACAATCATCCTGGTAGGCAGCAGAGGATGGCCCGTATGCCTGGGCCCCTGCCCCCTCGTGGGAGACCTGGGCAAAGCTCCTGGCTTCGGCCTGGCCCAACTCTGGCTGCTGTAGTGGGCCTTTCAGGAGTAAACCAGAGGTGAAAAGTACTCACTCTCTCTCCCCTGGCACCCTACCTTTCAAGTAAATAATCTTTAAAGAAAATAAAAGGGGCTGGTGCTGTGGCACAGCAGGTTAACACCCTGGCCTGAAGCATCAGCATCCCATATGGGTGCTGGTTCGAGACCCAGCTGCTCCACTTCCTGTCCAGCTCTCTGCTGTGGCCTGGGAAAGCAGTAGACGATGGCCCAAGTTCTTGGGTCCCTGCACCCACATGGGAGACCTGGAAGAAGTTCCTGGCTCCTGGCTTTTGATTGGCCCAGCTCTGGCCGTTGCGGCCGTCTGGGGAGTGAACCAGTGGATGGAAGATCTCTCTCTCTCTCTCTGATTTTCAAGTAAAAATAAATAAATCTTTAAAAAAAGAAAAGAAGAAGTATAAAAAGTCTGATACATGGACAGCTCATTAAGAAATATGTATATTTCTAAACTCTAATATTAAGTCAGGGATATAAGCAAAACATAAAAGAATAGCACATAAGAATTTACATGTTCTACTCCTTCTCAGTGATAATTTCTCAGTGTCCATAAATAAATCAATTAATCCCAAATTTCCTATTTGTGGATTTTCTAACAACGGAAAAATAAGAATCAGCAGTAACTGATACACATACTCTTGCGTGACAACTTCCATTTTTATTTCTGAACGTCTCACTAGATGTCAGTAAAGAGCAGAACACGCTTCCCACACTTTGAGGACACTGCCACTGTATCAGGTTCCACAGGCCTCCAGCTGACAGAACAGAGCACTCAGAATACACACACACGCACACACACACACACACACACATGCACGCGCACACACACCTTTCTCTTACAACAAGACTTCTCAGCTCTGGTGAGGGTTGTATGAGCCCGGTGTGTTCACTAGCACGCCTGACCTCCGCCTGCTGGATGACAGGGGTGCACCCATGTACACACACACACCTGCCTTCGCTGTGACAACCAGAAAGCCTCCAGACACTGCCAAATGTCCCCTGGGGACAGAACTGTTCCCAACTAAGAAATCACTGCTTTAACATTAAATCCTAAAGCTGTATCCTGATGTTCAATTACTGTTGAAACGTATCCCGAGTTTTATGAATGGTTTAAAATACTGACCTAAAAAAAGAGAAATATGAATTGAAACACTCAATCAGTTTTATTGAAATTAAAGAACTTCAACTTTTAAAAAGTACTATTTGCCTGTGTGATTTTAGTGAGTTTAAATCACAGAATAAAAAACACAAAGGCACGGATACCATTCCGAAGACCACGGTCTTTTCAGCCACGGTAGCTGTGCAAATATTGCACCCAATGACGCAAACTGGACCGTTTTCTTAAAACGTGAGCTTCCAATTTAGAGCACCACCCAACAGCATCTTTTTATGACGATGCTCTATCCACAGAGATAAAACAGCCACTTATTCCTCTCTCAGACAAATCCCATGTCCTGGTGAGTCAGCCATAACAATGTTTCTCTGACAGGTGGAAATTCTGTTACCACAATTCCTCAGTAGTAAGTCATTCTCAGAACTTTATCCAGAGAGCACTGATTCAACAGGTATGAACCAAGTTCTCAATCTGTCCCTCACACTGGACCAGAACTCAGGGAACTCCAGACGCCAAGGGACAGCCACCTTCTAAAATGTTTGTGGGAAAATTCTACCGCATTTTTAAGAAATGACTAATTTCCTATTGTTTAAACAGCTCAATTTTAAACAGCTTTTCCTAATGGAGGAAAAAAAACCAGAACTGCTTCAGCACAGTCAGGAAGACTAGCATAATCCTGACACAAGAACACTACATCTCACTTTAAAAAATCATGAAAACATCCAAACTAAAATGTCAGCAATCTAATCCAGCACTACGTTAAATAAGGCAGAGGCGTTAAGAAAGCCTGAGGAAACCGCATACTGTTCTTCAGACTAACGGATGAATATGGTCATCTCCACAGACACGAGAAAGCATTTATGAAACCCAACACAAACTGAGGACAAAACTCGCCACGGCTTAGGAACAGGTGATGCTTCTGTGCCTTTTCAAATTCATTAGCACTTAAAGTAAACAGTATAGTTCACAAGACACATGAGACGTACTTCCATTAAAGTCACGCGTAACACTAGAATGCCGAGTATCTCTTCAACATTGGTTAGTACCTAACCAAGGTACTAAGACATGAAACAAAGTCAGCTCATAAATACCCAGGAGAAAAAGCCCCTGTCAGCTGTTACTGAGATAAGCAGTGTTGTGGAGTGATGGAGTGGTAAACAGCTAAGGTACTGGCTGGGTACCCACTCCATATTACAGTGCCTGGGTGTGAGTCCTGACTTCCCTCGGATTCCAGCTGCCGGCTCACGTGCACTCTGGCAGGCAGCGATGATGGCCTCTGTAGGTGGGCTCCTGCCACCCACATGGAGACCTGGAGTAACACCTCGGCTCCCACTTTGAGCCCAACCAGCCTCAGCTGTTCTGGGGATCTGGGGAATGAACCAGCAGATGAGAGCTCTCTCTATCCATCTATGTCTGTTTCTCTTTCTCTCTCTCTCTCTCTCTGCCTCTCAAATACAATCTTAAAATTTTCTAAAACCCAAGTCCAGGAAAACTACTAAGAAAGTTTAATAAATTGGCCTGCTCTGGAATCTCATCATCAGTTTCCCACACATGAGCAATAACAAATCAAAAAAAGCAATGAGGAATAAAAATCTTATTCACAAGAAAAAAACAGCTAAACAATTACAAATAAGCCTTTAAAGAAACATACAAAATCAAATGAAGATACCTATAAAGCTTCCAAGTATCTAAAATTAGACTTTCACCTTCAGGTTAATTCTCTAAAACTCAATCTATAAATTCAACACAGTATTCAGCATGTAACATAGACAGGACACTTCCTAGCACACAATAGCAGCAGTGAACTTCGCTGACCAAATGAACAAAGTGTGAGTAAAAGTATGCAAACACACATGCCCACATAAAAGCAAAATTAAGGACCTGGAATCGGTTAGATGTGATAAAGAGAGGAAACCAGGAAATCATCCACATTGCTAGCAGCTGTGTCTCTAAGACAGCAACATCTGCAGATGAACTGAGCGCTGTGCACTCAGCCGGGTGCATGGGTTACAGACAGGAACTGTCAAATTTCTTATCTTCCAGGACCTCAGGACACAGCGAAGGAAAGTGAAAGAAACTGATGGTTCCAATGCATAATGGATGCATGGCTAGAGCTACAGAGAGGGGACTATGGGAACAAAAATGACCAAACCACAGAAATGAGTAAGTCACGGTTAGCCAGGTAGACGCTGGGGAGACAGGAGTAGCACCAAAAAAAGAAGCCGGGAAGCAGCACTGTACGGTCATTGAACGATGCTGACTCAGAGCATGCAAAAGGAGAGGCAAGCAGTGGAACAAAGAGAGTCCTCGAGCCATGTTATAAGGCATTGATGTCATCCAGAAGCATGTAGGGAACTACAAGACTTTAAGCCAGGAGGTACATTCTGATCTAAACTTCAGAAACACTCTAGACTGCAGAAGGCCACAAGCAGAGGCAGGGGTCGGTGAGGAGCCTGCACCACAGTAGAGAGAAGATGAAGAGAGCTGCAACAGCACAAGATGGCAGAGTGCAGGAGGAGCAGGACCAGATCCAAGAAGGCATCAGAAGGTGAAATGAACATGCAGATTGGATGTTCCTGTCTGTGGAGGAGGACTGGCTTCTGCTGTGTGTGTGTGACTAACTCGGTTAGACTGAATCAGGCAGAAAAGCCTTCAGTGCTCACAGATTGCTGGGTACATAGATTGGGAACTGGGTAGATATCAGGGCTTAAAATACAAACGCAGAAGTCATCTACATTTTGAGGGGGCCAACAACTTAAGAGAACATACAGAATGAGAAGAGGAAGAAAAAAGAGAACCCAGGAAAATACTGAACAGTTGGGCTCATGAATTAAAATAGGATGTAAATTTTTTTTTTCAAATTTTTTTTTATGGATTAAGCTTTCTCCTGTTTTTTTTTTATTTTTTATTATTAT